ACGGGCTCCCGCCATGGCGAAGCCCCCGGCGGTGGCGGCGGCGGCGGCGGCGGCGTCGGAGGAGCTGAGCCAGGTGCCGGACGAGGAACTGCTGCGCTGGAGCAAGGAGGAGCTGGCGCGGCGGCTGCGGCGCGCCGAGGGCGAGAAGGTGGGCCTCATGCTGGAGCACGGCGGCCTGATGCGCGACGTGAACCGGCGGCTGCAGCAGCACCTGCTGGAGATCCGCGGCCTCAAGGACGTGAACCAGCGGCTGCAGGACGATAACCAGGAGCTGCGGGAGCTCTGCTGTTTCCTGGACGACGACCGGCAGAAAGGGCGCAAGCTGGCTCGCGAGTGGCAGCGCTTCGGGCGCCACGCGGCCGGCGCCGTGTGGCACGAGGTGGCCCGCTCGCAGCAGAAGCTGCGGGAGCTCGAGGCGCGCCAGGAGGCCCTGCTACGCGAGAACCTGGAGCTCAAAGAGCTGGTGCTGGTGCTGGACGAGGAGCGCGCGGCGCTGGCGGCGGCGGGGGGCGCTGGCGGCGGCGGCGGTGGCGGCGGCGGCGGCGGCGGCGCGGGCTCCCGCAGCTCCATCGACAGCCAGGCCAGCCTGAGCGGTCCCCTGGCGGGCAGCGCGGCGGGCTCCGGTGCCCGCGACGTTGGCGACGGCAGCAGCACGTCCAGTGCGGGCAGCGGCGGCAGCCCGGACCACCACCACCATGTCCCACCCGCCCTGCTGCCCCCGGGGCCGCACAAGGGTCCCGACGGCAAGGCCGGAGCCACGCGCCGGTCCCTGGATGACCTGTCAGCGCCGCCGCACCACCGGAGCATCCCTAACGGCCTGCACGGTAAGCACCTCCCCCGGGGCGGAAGCCCAGGGGTGTGGTGGGAATGGGGTCGAGCCCCCTGGACCCGTCCGCAGCAAATGGAGCATCCGGCGGTGGTGGTGTCCCCCGTCTAGCTGGTGCCGCAGAAAAGTTTCTCATCCACACCTTTTTGTGTTCGTGGCTGGCACTCCGGGGCTGTTTAGGGGTGTCTCTCATCCCACCCTGAAAACACTTGTGGGCGGAGGGAAGTTTTTCTTGGGAGACTATGACAGGCCCCTAAGCTAAAGCAAGTGAATTTCCCTGTGTGGTTGGAGCCACAGTTACCCCTACTCACGGCCGTGCTGTGCCTGTGGCTGGTATCCTCCCCTGCTTCCTTCCCTGCCCTATCTCCTGGACTGGGCTGCCACACCAGCACCGCGGTTGAGACCTTGACGCAGCTGGGCCAGGGCACTCAGGGTTAAGATAAGAGTCTTCCTGGCTTCCCATAAACCCTGCAGTACTGGTTGGGACACCTTTCCCAACTTGGTCTCTACCATTTTCCCCAGAGGATACATTTGGAATGGGTTCTGACTTCTCCGTGTGCCTCAGTTTTCCTTGCTTCCTTGCTTTTAAGTTGGAGAGGCTGATGCCTGCCTGGCCCGGGTGTGAGGTGGAGCTAGATAATACCCCTGAAGAGATTTGTAAGCTTGATCGCCTTACAGGGAAGTGCTGGGGTCATTTGTGGCTAGTGTGAGGGTGGGAGGTCAGCTCTGTTTTCCTCAACCTGTTGCTGTTGGCCCTGTGCTCAGGGTGTCCCTGTCTAGGGTCTGTGATGGCTGCCCCTTCCCTGTTTCCCCACAGTTTTTAGGAGCTTGGTGGCACCCACCTCTGCCTGAACTGTTGCCTGGTGGTGGAGAATAACCAGCCCTTTCTGTTCTCCTTAAAGCCTCTCCCTGTCCAGGCACTGTCAAGGCTTAGAAGAATTTCCCTTTCCCAAACTGACAGCTCGAGCTGAAGCCCAAGCTTTTTCTTTAGTTTGTCCTCGCCAAGCCTTCTGCAGGTGTATGGGGGTGGTCACAGGTAGGAGCTGCAGACCCCAGCCTGTCAGGTGGAGGTTTCCTCCTTTTTTACCATCCAGAGCGTGAGAGTTCAGGAAAGGACTTCAGCTAGAGGGATATTTTGTTACAGATTAGCAATCTACCACAGCAACTCGGGTTTCTTTTTGTAACACTGCATTCTCAGCCCCTCCTCTCCCTCCCCTTAAGCCCCAGATGCAGAGTTCCTGCTTAATTTGTTGGGGATGGACACCCGTCCTTACAGTGCTTGCATCCCTTTGGCTTCCAGGGGCTCTGGGAGGGTCAGTGTTCTGGGTCCTGATTTCCCCAAATGCATGGTGAAGGAGGAGAATCTTTGTAGTTCAGGAAACCCAGTGTTGCTGGTTTTCAGCAGTGTCGTCAGTAACCCTTGGCCAGCGCCACTGTCCGCAGGACACTGCCTCGCTTGAGTGTCTCCACCTCTTTGCAGGCGGTGGTGTTTTGTGCTAGGAGATGTGGGTCTGGCCCAGAGTTCCAGTTGCAGTAGTGAATAATGCAGCAGGGAGGGACCTGGCCTGGAGGTTTTCCACCCCACAGGGGATAGGTAGGGGTTGAAGTGTCCTGTTTCCAACAGACACCCCCCCCCCCCATGTCCTTGCAACAAAACTGCTGCAGACTTCCTAGCAGCCAAGCTTTGCTTTGGCACGAAACAAAAACTCAGCAGTGTTATTACAAATTTCAGTTACACACTGGATTGTTCTTTTTAGTTCTGTCTCTGGAAGTCAGTGGGTGGCCGGCAGTGTCCTCTCTCTGATGTGCACAGAATTCCAGGAAACAAGGAAAACTGGGCTTTTCTGTGCGGGGACCTGAAGCTTTACTTTGTTCTTGAGGAGCAGGACTGAGCTGAGAGAGACAGAGACAGACAGACAGACTAGGTGTGTGTGTGTGTGGGGGGGCTTGGTGTGTGCTCACAGGAGTCCTGGGCAGGTTGCCTCAGCCCTGTTTTATGTATATGCAAGGGGAGAAACAGAAAGGACCCCCACCTTGCCTTGCTGGGGTCTCCACCAGGGCTTTTGCTGTTTCTGCCAAGAATGGTTTGAGGTCCTGCAGTTGCCATTTTTGCTTCTCCAGTTTGGGTAAAAGGGATGCTCCCCTCTTCTTGATCCCTGACCCCACTGTGCCTTTTTCCTTCTGTGCTGGGAAGTGTTACTTCCTTATCAGTGCCTCATTGATAACAGGGGCTGGGCATCTCGACTCCCTCATGTATCCTGGGGCAACTTGGTTAATTTTGCTCCCTGTCCTTCTTCTGGATGGCGGAGGGGAGCCCACGGAGTCCTGTACTCCAGGAAAGTCCCCTGCCCACACTGGTCTGGCGGTTGTCGGTGGAGTCCGCCACGGGAGGCCCGCCAGCACGTTTTGGCTGCTCTTCCAAACTGTTTGCCTTTGAGACTGCCCATGGGCACATTCACATCTGAGCTCCTTGTGCGGTGTGTGGCTGCTTGCAGAGCCAGGGAACCAAGGCCCTGCAGCCCTCTCTGGGGAAGCTGTGCTGCTGTGCAGCCAGGCAGGTAGTCCTAGAAGGCCTCAGGTGACAGTGGTGGAGGGAGCCTTCTGTAGTCCAGGCAGCCCTGGCTGAGGTGGGCTTGGCCAGCCTGTGAATGCATGTGCAAAGGGCTCCATGTTGGGCGGGCACTGGACGGCCACTGGGTTCCTTTGGAGAGGTTGGGTCCTGGCTGGTTGAAGTCAGGTCTAAGGTGCCCTTGCTGTCGCTCCAATCCAGTCCTGCAGGATTACACAATTTAAATGCCAGAAATCCAGCCGTCCCCCTCCATTCCCCCAATTGAGGTGATTTTCAGAAAAAATTTTATTTTTCCTCTGGGGGTGTAGCTCAGGGATAGAGAGAGCATTTGCTCAGCACAGTATGGGACTCTGTGGACAGCAACACACACACACACACACACACACACACACACACACACACGGCAGAAAAGACAGCACTTGCAGTTAGTTTTTTCCCTCCTATCCCTCTAGCCCACCACCCATCCCCTGCTCTTGGGTGTGTGTGTGCCCTTTTGTCCCAGACCCCCAAGCCCTGTGGCCCTGGTAGCTAACCCAAAAGCTCCATCAAGCCTGTGAGTGAGTGAGTGCCATTTATCTTTTCACGTTTGGTTTTGGGTTAAAATTTTGAGCCAGTCAATGAGCAGGGTTTGATCACCCATTTGTGTTTTTGTTGGTTTTGGGAGGCTGAAGTAGGGGGGGTGGCCTGGGCCTTTAAAAAAAAGACAGAGCAAGCCGCCTCAGGGCTCTACTAATAAGACTGCCTTTGCCTGCCAGCCTGGAGCAAAGGTCAGAGGAGATAATGGGCGGGTTATGCAAGCTCCCCCTCCCCTCCCAGCCTGACCCTGGTAGAGGGGTCCTGTGAGATTGTCCATGGGCGTGGGTGCTATGTCCTCAGGGTCCCCAGGAATTCTCCGGCAGGTGACCCACTCATCACATCACATTTACCACAAAGAGCTTGCCCGCTGCTGAGGGCCACCTTGAGCTCCTGGGAGGCCTGGAGAGGTGCTGGGTATTTCTCTGGTTCCCACAGGGCAGGCTGGGGTCTGCAGTGAGCCCTATGGGGGAGGGCACCTGAAGTAAAAGAGTCCCGTTCTTCCCAGGAGGGCTTCAACTCTCCTTTTCGGAGCGGAGCTGCGTCCACGCAGGGACGCCCCTCCACATATCTTCCTCTTATGCTCTCACTTTCCTACACCAGGCTGGTTTCCCGTCCCAGTGGTCATTCCACCTCAGCTCCAGCCTGCGTTGGGCCTCTGAGCTCCTGGCACACAAACCTCGTTCAGTATTGGTCCGTGGCCAGCATATTTTATGAGGAAAACCGGCTCCTACTTATACCTGTGTCCAGCAGGCCTGTGGCAGTTACTTACACAGCTCCTTGGCAGTCTCAGGCAGGTCCCTGAGCCACTCATCTGTAAAATGGAAACTGTGACAAAACTGGGAGGCGGAAGGTGCCTTCGTATAACACTGTGTGAAGGCAACTTCTCTGGGATGGAACGCCCAGTGCTGAGCTTTAAGGCATAGGAGCAGTGCGGCCTGCTGCCGAGCGCTCTAGCTCCACTAGCTCCAGGGTCAAAAGGACCTGAGTGAACTCTGGCCTCCTTGGTCTGTGACCATACTGACCCTCCTGGCCCCAGGCTTTCTTCTGTAATATCCTGCTTCTATAGCTGCGCCTTTAAAGGAGGGGTCTGTAACTTCCATTTTCATCTGGATAGCGTTCCCATTCTGGGAAGTGCTGCTCGGGAATAGAGTGGGGAACCCCCTGGCCCACACTTGTGAGTGGAGCCTTTGTGCCCAGTCCTGTCTTCTTGTCAGGTTGAATAGAAGAAAGATGGCTTTGTAGTCAAGAAAGAGCAGAATGGCTAAGCTCTGAAGGTGGGAACTGGAACAGGGTGTGGAGAGGCCAAGGTTCACTCAGTGCGTCTGGACCCACAATGGACAGGAAGCATAGAGAAGCTGAGTTTGGTGCTATGGCCTGGACGTTCCAGTGACTCAGAGTTCAGTGACTGCCGAGGAACGCCGTCCAGGTAAATCCTGTGACCCCTGAGCCAAGAGTCCTCATTAGGGAGGCGTGTGATCATCCTTCTGGGCGCTGGTGAAGGGCTTTCCTGTGGGTAGGACTTGTAGATGCCCAAGTCTCGGGTTGTGCTAGGGAAGACTTGTCAGGGGTGAGAGGGCAGCTGGAAGTGGGCATTGACCTTGTAGTTGTTCCTTAAAACAGGAAGGAAAACATTAGCTTAAGTTTAATGAGCATCAGTACTCCAAAATTCTCAGTGCCTTTACAGTGATTCATGTCATCTGGCCTGGGAGTGGCAGTTAAGGAGCGTCTCCCTGGTGACTGTTCCCTAGGCTGGGCTAAGGGCAGGAGCAAGAAGCTCAGGGCCTCCGGGATGGCCATGGCTCCAAGCCCTGACACCAGCCCCTGTTTGCCTCCTTGGACCTCTGAATTGTAGT